TTCGCGAGGAGATCACTGAGTTCGAGCGCAGCGCCATCGATGTTGGTTGCGTTGGTCAGGGGGCCGCGACGGCTCGGGCTGCAGCAAAGGACGAATGCGCGAACCAGCGAGACACATAGGCTGCCGCGGCGTCAGTGCGGAGCAGGGGTGGGACACAATCATAGATTGCATATACAATTGCCCGACTCAAGCCAATAGGCAGTCAGTCGGTCAGTCAAACTGCATGCCAACAGGCAGCCCCTCAGTGGTGCACAGTAAAACTCAAATGTACCATTAGTCTCACTAGCCCTCGATTTCAAGCACTGCCCATCACTGAGTTGCAAAGCTAGCTAAGAAATCAGAAGGTACCACATGCGCTTTGCCAATCTTGGGAATGCTGGGCATATGCCATCGACCCGAGCACAAGCCTCGAGCTGTGTGCACCAAGTATTCGGCGGGCTGTCCACGTGATTGCCGACTGGGAACCATTCCGAAGCAGACCCGCCTCAAGTCCCGGATGGCAAATTTAATACGTATAACGCGACCTTCCGATATTGGCGAAGACATGTGTTAGACCAAATTTGCAAGTGAAATCTCTCTTGGAAATCAGACACGCTTCGGTTCCAGCGGCTTTGTAATTTTGTCAATGCAATGTTGGAATGGTAAATCCTTGAAAAAAGACTTGGCTGTAAACATCCCTACACTGGCCTATGTGGTGTTGAGTGAGGAATTGCTTGCCATGGCCCCCACCTGCTCGCATACCCACTAACCCTTCAACAAAGGATTGCTTCCCAGCACGCGGCCACGGGGATGTGATATCAAGAACTGACGCGAGGGATGAAAAGAAGTCTAGAGCGAAAAATTAAAGCATGGCAGCACATAAATATGTATATTTGTATTTGCACAGGCCTGCTTCCTTTATTCTTTTTGACCTTTTATATCTTTGCTTTATCTTTGCACGTCTGTGTAGAAAATGGAAAGAACTATCAGCTCATAAGGATCCAGGCACCAGTCACACCTCGCTCCAGTCAGGGCTCCCCGGCTTTCAAGTGTCAAAGTGAGGGTAACCCACCTTTTTTCTTGCGTCAAAAGGGGGGCTGGTACAATCAAAATTTGTTTAATGAAATTGGGCGGGGTTGACGTTAACTCATGGCATGGATTCCTATGAAAGGGGGGTACCCCCACCCATTTCATAAGGGGTATCTGAAGAGGGAACATCTGCTGCAACATGATGCATTTATGGGCAAAAGGTGCCATGAGTTGCTCGGGGGTCTCTTTTTTGCGGAGAACGGGGTACCAAAATTGTGGAAAATGTTGACGGTCGCTTCCCTTTGTCGCGTGGCCACGGGCATTCGATAAAACTAATGTTGTGGCACGAATCCGCTCGTCTCATCTCATCTCGGCAAATGTGACGTGTGGCGCGTGGGCGACATCACACCTTGATGTTGCAAATAGGCAAGACCTCTCAGAATCCCGTGCTGTGGCTTCGTGTCCGAGCACGGGGATTCCGGACAGCTGTACCAGCTTGCAACACAAATTATTGGATGATGTCTCCATTTTTCGGTGAGACACATCTTCTGGATCATTAAAGCAAATAGAACGCCTTCGCAGACATATGCATCATACCGCAGACGCAACCCGGATAATAGGTGGGAGTGAATTCGCACCTCGGGCCGAAACATGCTTAAACTGCATCTCGCACGTCAAATGCTCACAGCTCTCATGCACGCTTCGTTCAACATGCTGCATGCCAGCAATACCCAAGATCGGCAACGAATGGCAGTGGCTTTCGCACGCACACAACCACACAACAACCACAACGATCATTTGCCTATGCCAACAATAATTATGGCCCAAATAAATTGCTAAGAGGCGGCATTAGACAAGGGACTCGTGTTTTGCGCAAAAGGGGCTTACTCCCGATCAATCTCGCACAACAGTAACAAATCATTTAAATAATTTTGCACACAATACACGTCGTCTTTTATTTGAAGGCACGAATCGAGGAACAGGTCTATGTCAAGAGGAGTACATAAACTGGCAATCGCCCCGACATTGTAAACAGTCTTGTCATTGCTTCTGCCTTTCAGGAGAGCGGTAAACATAAATGTTGCTGAATATTCAATTCGGCTTCTTGCAAGGATTGACTGATGTCGCTGTTGCAACCGCCATTGCGGACTTGGCTGGCATAGCAATCCACATGCGTTGGGTCACTTCACCTCAGCGTTGTTTTAAACATGTCTGCTTCACACAACCCCTGCGCAAGATGAGCCACAGAAGATGCTCTGATAAAGAACAGTCTCTCCTTTTTCTGCGACGGCGCGCGATCATCCTGGCCATATGCCAGGTTCCAGACACCCCTGCAGATGCTGGGCTGATAATTATAGTCCCCCTCAAGTAGATAGAATATGGGGTATATGGGGGGAATGTACCCAAAGCCATATTCTATCTACTTCAGGGCTATAGCCTTTTGGTGTTCTGAAATCCTACAGAATTACTTCTCCTTAGTTAGAAGGACCTTGACGGCATTTGCTGCAATTCTGTATCCAGTTTGACACTGTCGGGTCGTCAATAACATGAAGATCTCAACGAAAAATCCTATGAATTACGTGGTCCTTAATCATTTTAGAGATGTCCTGTGTTGTTTTGTGAAACCAAGCCCACATCCGCAGGAGGCCCGGTTTATGAAGGTGGCCAAGACGGCGCGGTTGGCGGGCCGCCAAAGCGATTTGTTGAGATTTTTTTTGACTGCGGCCTTGTCTTAACGTTGCTCATCGGAAAGTGCGCATAACCTGTATCAAAAGATAGACAGCAAACTCTGTTCTAGATCGCGAAGCCTACATTACGGCCTCCGGTCTGCTTGTGGGCCTAGAGTGTCGCTTAAGGTATGAGTATAAGCACCCGGCAATATCTCAAAGAAGGTGTTTGGGTTGTACACTCGTATCTAGAGCCCATGCTGCTTTGAAGCCATCCATGAATTAGGGCTGAAAGGGTTGACGGCGAGAGACCATAGAGCCCACACCCTACACCGCAAGCCGTGTGTATCTTTTCTTTGGTCTTGTGTTAGGCGTGCGTCTCTGGCATGGAGGTAGCCCGCCTCGCGAACAGCTCTTACTGTCAGATACCAGTAAATGGAGTCTCCTCAGGCAATCTAGGCTAGGGGGTTTGAGTTTAGGGTTTAGTCGGTGCCATGAATCAAAGCCGTGAATTAGGTGGACCCCCCACCCTGTAATAGCAGTATAGTACAAATATACGAAGAGCTTACTTTAATCACCAGTGTTCCTGATAGCTCCCCAAGCCTTGTTGATGCCTGTCAATCCGCGACTGAAGCGCTATACACCCCATCGAAGGTCGTGCTGAAAGGAAATTGCATTTATCAAATCCTGTTGCTGCTAAACTTTACACAGACTAGTCGTAGCAGTACTCTCATCTCGTAAAGTTCCTGCAAGGAGACTGCATTTACGAGTTGCGGCTTACTACCCCTCGATGGTGAACTGCGGATGCCGAAATCGCCAAACAGATGGCGTAGGTCCGGCCTGGCCACAAGCGGTCGGTGACAATAGTCATGATGGTTCTGCCGACGCCACTACCACAACTATTGCTATGGCTCCTCCTCCTACTACTTCTTCTTCTTCTACTGTTGGCTTTGCTGGTACTGTAACAATTACAGCAATCGCAGCTGCTAGCACTACTTCGTCGACTACCACTACCAGTGCTGCGGCCTCTCCTGATGCTCATACAGATTTGCAGAAATTGGCCACTTCTACTGCATCCTCGGCATTGGGATCCTCATAATCGTGATGCTCACATACCCTGGAGTCCTGAGAATAACAAAGGTAATGACTTCAAGCAGTCCAAGCGTTCGCTTGTAAGAACCCTTACCCCAAAAAAACTCGACTCTCACAAGGTCAGAGAAGCTTGGACGCTCTCTCGTTTGTATAATCCCATTTTCCATTTCATTTTCCAGTTTCTTTTCCATTTGATTCTCCATTATTGGGGTAATATTGGGTACCATATTATTCCCCTATAAACCCAATACTCTCTCTCTCTCTCTCTGTCATCTCACCGCAGCCTCTGAGCCGTGGCACATGACTACTACATGACATGTGAGTAGCGTTTTTTTGGTGGTTGAACCTAGTAAGTTAATATTCCTTATATAAAACACTATACCCCAAAAGGAAGATATAANNCCCAAATGAAATACTACTCATGTGCACCTAGCCTTCCAGGACCCTTACACGCAATCCTTAATCCCTAGATAACCCGTATACTATAGTCCCTATAGTTTCCATTGTCCAGTATCCCAATATAACCCCAATGTTACCCCAATGGGTAATAAGGTAACCCTTTCAAGAGTTTAGACTATAGCTTATATAATCCTTATATAACCCTATAGCAGATTCCATTTCATTTTCTATTTTCCTTTCCACTTGATTCTCCATTATTGGGGTATATATAACCCCCACAATCCAATATGGTACCCCCCCTAAACCCTAAACCCTAAACCCTAAATCACATCCTGTTTTGACGCAGCGCTCCGGCACGGTTCTGCGTGCTCGAGGAATCAGGGAGGCGACCCGGGAGAAAGGATTTGGGGCTCCGGGTTGGACTATCTTGGGGTTATATTGGGGTTTACGGTTTTTGGGGGGGTTAAAAAGGTATAATGGACAAGAAAACGGAAACTACTATCTAGTATTTAGGGTTTAGGGTTTAGGGTTTAGGGTTTAGGGGTTAGAAAGGGATAATGGAGCAGAAAATGGAAACTACTATATTATCTAGGGTTATGTAAGGGTGATAGGGTTGGCGTTTACTGGGCTGCTTGTAAGGAACTTAAGTTAAGTTACCATAATGGGTATACGTAGCAACCCAGTTTAGGGTTTAGGCCGCAGGGTTTACAGTGTGTTTTGGGCTTGGGGCTTGCATCTTCCAGGGCTCAGAGTTTGTGTTTCGGGCTTAGGGTGATGATCTCTGATGTGCCCTAACCCTCGGCCCTAAACCCTAAACCTCAACACCCGCAACCCTCACTTGTACTCCTTCTGATCACGGCCCTCGAAGTACATCTCCTTCTCCTGGCCCAGCACTCTCGTTTCAGGTTGAGTGTTAGGCTGCGGGTGCTGTGTTAGCTTTGGGATAATGGAAAATGGAAGCTACTAGAGTATACTGGTGTATGTATCGGGGTTTTACAGGGATAATGGAAAAGAAAAGGGAAACTACTATAATGGAGTAGGGTTTAGGGTTCACTGACAGTTTCCGGCTTACGCCCTCGCAGAGTCGGTAAAAAGCAGAACTCAGAGCTTGAATGGGATCTACTTGCAGTAACGGTACCCAGTTGCCTAAACCCACAAGCCCTAAGCACCCTAAGTACCCTAAACCCTAAGTACCCTAAAACCTAAACCCTAAACCTAAACCGCGCCCAAACAAAGATAGATGCTTCATTTTTGCATTCTAGCTGGGAGTCTAGGAACCCACAAAACGTCAAAGTGGACCCTTCATCATCTCTAGGTCCGATACCGCCTCCCAAAACCCTAAACTGCGGGGTATCTCTTTCGACCTTCCTTTGTGGATGAAGCTTGCATAAAGGAGCTGATCTTCCGAACTCAAGCTTTCTTCTTCCGAAGGGGTTTATAGGGACTATGTGGGGCATCGTCGGGTTCCTTTACTAGGGGTAATATAACTCTGTAGGGACTATATGGGGTATCTAGGGTTCCTTTGGTAGAGATCATATAGTCATACAAGGACTATATGAGGCATATTCAGAATCCTTTACTTTGGACTATAGAGCTTCATAGGGACAATATGACATATATATATATACACATATACATATACATATACGTATACATATACATATACATATATCTTTGTGCCTTTGACAGGGGTCATGTGGGGTCCTATCCACATCATGCAGCCAAGTCTCTCGATCCATGGACTTCTGCCACTCGGCAAACTCTCCTCAGTGGCTTTCGCTGTCGGGTGCTTAGCTCCCTGGTGCTTAGGAGGGAATGGGGGAATGAATTATAGGGATTATTATGAGGGATTATATAGGGACTACTATAGGGATCCATTCCCCCATTCCCTCCTAAGCACCAGGGAGTTAGGGTTTAGGGTCAGCGCTTCACTTCAGTTCACGGATAGAAGTACGTGGGCCGTCTGTGGCCTCCAGATTTTGCGGTGCCTACTGTTGATACTACAAGTCCTGCATCAGCTTAGTATACTATAGTAGCATTCCCAAGCTACAAGCTACTTAGGGTCATGCAGGAGTTTTAGTAATTATCCATCGAACTCACTGAAATGTGCCGGCCCTACACAAAAGTGCAAAGGCCCTTGCTTGTCAGCTACCGTCATATAATACAAATTACTTCCAGGAAGCTCAGTTCGGGTCTTTCTGAGAATCGCCTGGGCCCTCTCGAACCACCCAACCAACCCAAGACATCTGTACTGAGCAATAGTCACGAACTAGTTCATACGACCTACAGTCTAAGCTTCTAGCATCCGCCTTAATAGCCTCTACAATGCTCCCCTATATAATCCCGAAGAACCTTTTATGAGGCCGCATTCCTGCAGCAAGGTGCTAGAATTAGGCTTCACAGGTGTTTACAACTTAGGCTTGAAGTTCCGTGTTTAGGGGTTTTAGGGGTTTTAGGGGTTTTAGGGTTTAGGGGTTTAGGGTTTAGGATTTTTGGGTTTAGGGGTTTAGAGTTTTTGGGTTTTGGCTTTAGGGTTGCGGCATGTGCAGACGTCATTCAGGAATTCGAATACATGGCTCCCTGGACAGGCTTAGAGGCTGTGGGATTTAGTAATTTAGGGTTCGGGGTCTGAACCCTAAATCCTAAATGCCACTAAACTCGAAGACCTAAAGTCCTAAATAAAAACCCTGAAAAACCTTTAAGCCCCATGAGCCCTGGACTGGAACCCCGAAGACCCCTAGACCCAAAGCTCTCTTTCTCTCTCGCTGTCTCTGAAACCCTAAACCCTAAACCGTAAATGCATGCAGATGCAGAAGCACCCGCCAGCGCACTGACCTGGAGGGCCGTAGAAAATCATCAGTATCCTCTTGAAGTCTGGTTGAGGTACCTTCTATTAGAATCATACAAAGAATCGAAGACCATAATACATTATTTTGGCCCTTACCCTACACCCTAAACCCTATAAACCCTAAACTCGAAACCCTTAAACCCTATAAGACCTAATCCCTATACACCCTAAACCCCTATACCCCTAAACCCTAGAACCCCAAACCCCAAACCCCTGAACCCCTAAAACTCTAAACCCTAAACCCCAGACCCTGCCTTCCTAGTCACAAATTCAATTCAGTCTCTCTCCCCAAGCTCTTCGCTAGGTGGCGTCTCGAGCTCGAAGTGTACCTCGACAGGAAAGCTTACAGTAGGGTCCAAAGACATATAATAAGAATAGGGCTCAGGGTTTAGGGTTCAGTTTTTTTTTTGGTTTTCTTGGCTGGCGGGGTTTAGGCTTAGGGTATGAGGTTTAGGGTTTAGGGTGCTCGAAATACTTACAAAAGGGTTTTGGGGTGCATGCATCTGGCTACATCAGGCTTTTTTAAGGGGAGAATAGTGGACAACTTTCACGCTTCTAAGACACTTTCTTCCCACTAGTGCTTAAGGAGTGGAGGAATGAATGCAAGCACTACTATCAACTTTGGAGATTTGCGGAAGGATTTTGGGGGCGATAGTTCTAAAAGTCACTGCCCCGCTGCTTCGTGAGCACCAGCCAGTCTTTCTTTCTGCACTTACGTTCAACCCGTGTTCGGGTGTTACTAGGAGGCATCTGTATGTCACTTTTGCGCGATAACATTTTGAACACCACCATTTGAGCTATAGTCTAAACTCCTAGTATGCCCCTTAATAAGCCCTATAGTAGTCCCCTATATAACCCCCCTTTAGGGAGTTTAGACTATAGCCCATTTTGCTTTCAGTATTGGCGAGGATTGCTGAATCAGGTTGCTGCATGCAGGGGCGCTTCAGGTTCAAATCGGTAGGCCTGCTTTGGGGAAGTGCCATGGGACGCTTTGGACATGGGGGTTACGTCTTATATTCTACCCAATTACTATCATCCTACAAGAGCCCCACAAAGCGATAGGGTTTAGGGTTTAGGGTTCAGGGTTTAGGGTTTGACCCCCAACCATAAAACCCCCAACCCCTGATTTGACACAGTTCCTCCATTGAAGAGCTCTGCAGATGACTGAGTCATCCTTCTCAGGCATGGTGGAGAGTGCCTTTTGGAGCTCCCTCCAGCCCTCATGGTAAGTGTTCTCCGCCATTTATACACTGGCTGGAGACAGGCCAGGTTATTGTCGCTAGCTTTCATTTTGCAGCTCCTTCTAGCTACCGCTCGTACTACTGCCTCAAGTTCGCTGGCACACTCGCTGGCAACACGACTGTGCTTAAAACTGCTGTTACTGCAGTAGGCTCATGACGCACAAAGCCCAATCCCCAATCAGAAGTCCACATTAATCATTGCTAATCAGTCTCTTCGCGTCTTATCAAACACCACCATCCCTCTGTATGAATGTAATACTCTCAGATATTGTACGAACCCCAAGGCTCATTCCCAAACCCGAGACCTCAAACCCTGAACCTTATTTTGTCCTCAACTCTCAGTACCGTACCCTAGAAGCCCAGGTACCCATATAGTAGGTCCTTGGGTTACAGATAGTATGAAGGTATATAGGGACCGAAGGACAGGAATCCAATATATAGGTAACTGGGCTTCTAGGGCTACCCTAAACCCTGACCCCACCTTCTCCGGCTTTCCGGAGAGCAACGTGGCGCGATCCCTTCGCCCAGCTCCCGCCTAGCAGATAAGACAGCACCAACTCACACGATTCAGGGATTACAGTTCTACGTAGGCTTTGGGGTCTAGAGTCGAGGGTTCTAGGATTCAGGGCTTAGGGTTTAGAGTCAGGCTTCTAGGATTTAGGGCTTAGGGTTTAAGGCTTTTAGGGTTTTGGGGTTAGCTTCTCGAGAAGATAATGGAGGTATATACGTTTATGTAGGGCGTGTAGAGGGATAGCTAGGATGAGGGTTTCCGCAAAGTATAATCAGAATTCTAGACTATTGCAGTATCTAAGGGGCCCAATATCAACAGATCGCCGTAGTCTGTAGCATAAGACACAGAAAGAGAGTACGGTTTACACTTGTGTAAGTTGTTTGTCGAAAACGCACCAATGGCTTCGGGTTTGAGTTTAAGAGTTTGGCTGCGAGAAATCTCAATCCTCCTCCTCCTGCTGCTGTCTCTGCACTTAGAATGACTACTCCTAGGCTCCGAAGACTGGGTTGCTGCTAACGAACTTAAGCTAAATTGCAGTAACAGGGAAGCCCAGTCAATTAACAACATACCCATATTATGATATCAGCGGAGTTGAAATTCCTGGAAAGCAACTCAGAAGAGTTGTGGCTGGTACTTCTACCTAAGCCCTAAACCCCAAAACCCAATTATCTTGCCCATCTTGCCAAGCGGCCTGGCCGGCGACGACACGGATTGCCAGGGCGACGCGGTCCTCGGCGTCTTGATTTGCCTGGCCTTGGCTTGGGAGTATAGATTGCTTCAGCGTTTCGGGTTGCCTGAAGAAGGGGGATACTGTTGATGGAGGAAATCTTGCACCACCTTAAGTCCCGAAAGTCCTAGGAGTTACAGTAGTTTAGGGCCCCTAGGTGGTGCAGGATTTCATCCATCAACAGTATGGTAATTCGGGTATAGGGTATGTAGGGTTTAAGGCTCGGAGTCTCGGAGCTTTTTGGTTTGCGATTTGGGGCTTAGGGCTTTAGAGAGGCTTCGGCCCGGAGGGTGCCTAAGATACAGCCTCAGATAGCTAAGAATTACTATCCCTAAGGGTCCAAGGACCCAAATAATGGGGTTTTAGGGCCCAAATACCATTAGTGTTATAGTATTTGGGCCATAACACCCTATTATTTGGGTCCTTGAACCCTTAGGGTATTCTATGCATGAATATTCGAAAAACCTTACACCCTCCCATGGCTCAGGGCCTTCTGTTTAGTAGAAGTCGATTCTTCGGGTCGCGTTTTGCAGGATGTTCCTTGGTTGCATGAGAGTAGAAGAAGCAGGGCTCTTGGTGTCAAAGGTCCAGGCATGTTGGCTCAAAAGCTGCAAAGATGGGAGTTCCTGTGGGCTGCTAAACTAGGGCTAGCAACCATAAGGCCCAGGATATGCCCATTTTCTAGTAAATACGACAAATTATTAAATGGAAAAGAAAAAAGGAAACTGAAATGGGAGCTACTAGTTATGCTTAGGGCTTCAGGGAAGTAATGACGAGTCAAGAGGAAACAACACATGGAAATTAACATGGAAGTGTGTCGTCCACGGGGTTTAATACGGGGCCTTGCAGGGGATAACTACCACAGTCTACCATGGGGGGCGGGAGCGGAGGGGCAACCTAAGCCCTAAACCCTTAGCGTTTAGGGTTTAGCGTTTTGGGGTTTAAGGTTTTTAGGGTTTTGGGTTTTAGGGTTTAAAGTATAATATCGCGTCTACATGCCTTCAAAGGAAAACTTTCCCAAAGTCCCCAACAAATCCTGCTAAGGCTTTGACTCTTAGGTCGGAGCCAAAAAGTTCTGCACCCCAAAAGCTAAGCCCTAAACCCTGTACCCTGCATCCCTAAGTACTAAATTGCACAGTTTAGAGGGTTTGGGGGGGAAGGGGGAGAGGTTAGCGTTTAGGGTTTAGGGTTTGGGGTTTAGGGTTTCGGGGTTTACGCCCCAGAACCCCAAATCCCACGGCTCTTAGAAGAACCTGCCAAAGCCGAAACGCTGCTGTGAATGGTGAGGAAACTGTGGGCCGTGGCTTCCCCTGGTAGCAGCTCACACGCTGGAACCTGGATCTTACCACGCGGATTAGAGGGGTGCATAGAGATTACATGGGGAATTCAGGATCATACAGGAATTGTAAAAGGGAGTATGTAGGGTGCATAGGGCGTATACCGTATAATCCATACTAACCCTATATAGACCCGAATAATACAGGAGTGAATGTGGGATTTATGTACGGATTATGTAGGGGTTATGTCGCAAATCCAAATTTAGGACTCAAGGGTTTAGGAGTTTAAAGCTCAGGGCTTAGGGTGTTGGAGTTTAGGAGCTTATAGGGCGATTTCTAGGGGAATTTCCAAGGTTCAAACCAGCATAATCTACAAAGAATGACAGAAGGGCATTAACAAAAGGCACCCCCGGTCGAAACAAATCTTGAAGTCGTGAACTTACTGGGACTTGGTGTGGGGGGGGGGGGGAAAAGACGACCCAGGGACAACACACAGACAGTCCAGCCCATGTGAAGCAATACCAGGCA